AGAATTGATTGAATGGTTGTATTGGTTCATCTTCAATCGAATGATATGAAAATTTACAGCACTGATTGGTAGTATTGTTATGGAGAAATCGTTAAAAACGTACCGTGTAAATTGCGACTCAGCGGTACCAACCGTGTAACCGTCTAGCGTGCTATAAATACGATTGGCAGCAAAATCCATTTTTTTAAATGTCTTAGCATGTGAAAAATCTGGATCTTGGTAGATTTTTTACATCGTTTTTCTTCACCCGGTGTAAAAAAGACCTGAGTGTATTTTGATCTCACAACTAAAGGACCACACACCTATGGGACCAGCTCCACGTCAAATGACGAATCGGAAAAACTCGATCTTCTCCGATTTTCAAAAAAAAAAGAACTATGCATAATTGTTTGTTATTGGAAATCATTACCATTTTTACATATTCGGCCATTTTGAATTTTGTTTTTTTTTTCAAAATGACGTCTGTCATGTTTTAATAAATTGTAGCACGAAAACTCCACTTCTGATCGAAATGCCGTCTGAATCAAAGTGGTGGAGAAAAATAATGTCTTTCGGGGAAAAACATACATGGTTTTATTGAGAAAAATTCAAAAAAGTGTTAAAGGCTCAAATATCTCAAAAAGTAATCTTCAATTTTAATAAAAAAAATGATAGAAGGCTCATGGATAGCGCAATTTTTTGGAGTATTTGAAACCTTGGACATTTGAAAATTGACAAAAATCGTTGAACTAGAACTTTTGTTAAATTCAAATATTTGCTTTTACGCTTTTTTATGTAATAGTTGTAAACAGTAAACAATATTTGAGACATTCTTAATCGATATCTGTGCAAACAGTACATAAAATAGCTTGCTCACAAGAAGTTTGGAATTACGATCAAAAGTTAATGTTATACACTGAAATCATTTTTTACACGGTTTTTTTTACGCGGTTTTTTTTACACGGTTTTTCGCGATTTACACGGTACGTTTTTAACGATTTCTCGACAACGATACAACCTATCGACTTGATTCCAATCACATTATCCGTTTCAAGCTATAGGTAATTGAATGGCATACTTAAAAAAAATCACAATTTTTGGTGTAAATACAGAAATTTTTAAAATATGTCTATATGGACCATAGCATGCTATAATTACAAATGGCATCAAAATCCGATTTTTTAAAAACATTTAAACACTTGTGAAAAATCAAAATCTCGTAGGTTTTTTCTTACACGGTTTTTTTTTACACGGTACGTATCCTCCGTGTAAAAAAATACCTGAGTGAACAATTTTAGTAAATTTTCAAGCGTCTATAGTTTTAAATAATTCAAAATTTTACATTTTTTTGTGAGCTTTATTTAAACATAAATTATAAATATTGATTGAGTAAAGTATCTCAAAACTATAAACAGAAAAATACCTTGTATTTTTTCAAAAAATTATTTACTTTTCTCAACAAGATTGTCTCAGATGTCATTTCGATCAAAAGTATCGTTTTGTGCTACAATGTATTGAAAATTGTCAAAGACGCCATTTTGGAAAAAAATAAATAACGATTCACAGTGGCCGAATTTTTGCAAAAATATGAATGATTGCCAATAACATACAATTATGCAAAGTTGCATGCAAATCGCAGAAAATCGAGACAAAATGGGTCAAAAGTTATGCGAAATAAAAGTAACCTGTGTCTCAAATAACAATCTTGATTTTATCATACTGTTGTAGATCATGACTGAGACTTGACCTTTGAAATATCGATATAACTTGCAATGTTACTTGTTACGTATAAACGCGAACCATAACTTGGCCTTACAGATTAAAAATTGATTATAATCCTTCCTAAACTTTAACTGAAATGGTTATGGAACTTTACATGAACGTTTGTGTGATAAACTTTTAACCTTGTGTATTAAGTTTTTTTTTGGAAATGGACCTTACAAATAATGGGTTGTGAAGAACCATTACCATTCCCAATTCTTGTTTTCTCCATACATTTTCGGAAAAGGAATTATATGATAACCTTTTTATTTATGATTTGATAATTTTATGGTAGTCAGTAAGGTCCATGGATGGTTCTGTATTATCGGTCAACGGCCATAGGCCATGGCACATCATATTTTCCATATATTTATACTAAAATATCAAGTAAACTTACAACAGCGACAAACCATACCGTGTTGTGACCCAAACTTTTTATCAATGACTTGAATATCTATTTTGTTGATTTAAAGCATTTTCTAAAATGTACTAAAAACTTTCACAAGTGTATCTCGATGGGGTTAGAATAAGGGTTCTACTACCACTTTCATTTCAAAATTTGACCGACCCAGTTCTGAGCAAATCAGTGAAAATGTTGTGACATTAGGAGAAGCTTTAATGTTTAAAAATTGTAAAATGTATTAAACCAGTTACCTACGATCTAAATTTAAGTCAATACCATTCAAAATCGGTCGTAAAATGGCAGAGATATGAGCAAAAACCTGTATGGGTGATTCCAAACTTATGACCGGGAGTTTACGTGGAAATTTGAAATTAGCTTCTAATCGATTCTATTTGACATCATACGACTTCTTTTTTTAACAAATCCAGTATGACAAGTCTTACGAGTTTATCCGATTTAATGTGTACTCTTGTACGATGCAAGAATGATACATCGTATAAAAGCCAAAAGTTTGAATTATATACGGTGAAACTTAAACATCATGTGATGAAAATAATTCTAACATGCGATTTGGACGATCCCAAGAAACAGTTCTGGTTTTATCATGGTTTTAAAACATTCTTCATGACCAAATTATGGGCTACAAGACTATGATAAAACCAAAATCGTTACTTGGACTGTAGCATTCTACGATTCTATACGTATGTATATTGTGATACGACTTCGGATTGTATGGGTGAATAGCTGTTGGTTAAAAACTACACGGTCGTTGAATCTCACTCAAATTTGAGTATAGTTTACTCACTTTCGCTTAAACCACAATTACTCATAGACTAGAACAATTTTTTTTTTAAATGAGCGACATTAGCAAAAAAAATCGAGCTGGTTTTTGCTCGGTCTATCAGTAACCGTGGTTTTAGCAAGAGTGAGTAAACGGGAATCATTATTTAGTCAGATCCTGTGGTCGTGTAGGTAGGTGTAATTGTGTTGAAATTTTCCCAGGTGTTTGGTTTTTCACCATTATATAAACATTATGGAGCTTGGTCGAGCATAATGATACAATTGGCATTAAATAAGATGGTATCCAGATAACCAGAAGTCGTTTAAACATCCACAATTATAATAGTAAATTACTATCGATTAAGTCAGAACCGCGTTTAAAAATAAAATTCATCGTTTAATGTTAAAGTTTATCCGTATATAATACAAATTCACGAGTTATATACGATCAGGCATAGCAAATCATTGATATTCATTTGGTGCATTCATTAACATTCATTTGCCTTTAACTTTTTTCATCAACCGAATTCCGTAAGATGATGTATTTAGCTTTTGTAGGATTTGATATTAGCTACAACTTTTGTGAAAAACTTAAACATATATCTATTAAGCAGGACAAACTAGAGCGGGCAGAACTATAATTTACATTCACTGAAGAACAATGGTGGGTTCTGTTCGGTCTGGTTCATCATGCATAAGAGATATATATTTAAGTTATTTACAAAGGTTGTAGTTATCATCAAAACCTACAAAAGCTTCATCCATCATTTTACGGAATTCTGTTGATGAAAAAAATTAGACGCATATGAATGTAAACAAGTGCTCGAAATGAATGTAAATGATTTTCCATGCCTGTCTACGATTAGTCTGAATTTGTAATTACAAATTAAATCGTATACCGTGGAGGACCTGAATCCGTACACCTGAGAAATTAAACAAAATCCGTACATTTCATATACAACTTAACATACATTTGAAGCAGAATAAGATATTATTCAGGCAAAAACATGCTTCTTCAGCCGTAAATCAACACTAATTGTTGGTTGGGAACAACTAATTGTTGTATAAAGTGTGCGTATGAATTTGCCCACGGTATGATGTCAAATCAAATCGTTTACATTGTAAATTAATCATTGTTTCCTAGCCTTCATTAAAAATTTGGCTCGTGGTCCAAAATCTTTAAAATCAGTTATTGAGCTTCTGCAAACATTTGTGCGCAATGAGCCCGAGGGCTTTCAATTATGACGCTGACGCTTTTCATATTCCTTCGAATTTCAAGTAATTGGTACTGCACATATTTCGCAATTACAATCTTCATATGCAACCGGATTTGTCATGCACCCATTTTATGCCGTTCCGCACTTAATTCAAATTTTGCTAGTTACTGCTCGAGTAGTTTTTTTTTCCCATTATCTCTATGGCGTTTAGCCAATCCTACTATCGTCGTTATTAGAATCCTGATTGATATATATCCTTACACCACCTTACACCTCCCGCCAACAAATCCCAGACATTGACTCTGGCCATTGGTAGACCGTACTTTGTTCTCTCGTTCCGTTTGGTTTTCAAATTGGTTTTTTTCTTCTCAGAAGCCGAAAAACTTCTCTCGTAAACTGAAATCGCAACAATCGTTGACGTTAGGAGAGCAATTTCTCGATTTTTCCTCGTTATTGTTATTTTTCTTATCTGGTTGGTTTCCTCTTATCTGGTTTTCCCTTTTTAGCTTTTTTGAGGTGTATAGTTTTAAGTGAACAAGGGTACCCTCTAAGTATATTGCGTATACATATATCGTAATTTTAAGCTAGTTAAGTTTTGCGGTAACCCATCAATAATTTTGTTTTGTATTCTATTCTTGTTTCTTTTTCTTCTTTCTTTTTTTCGTTTTTTATCGTATTCGTAAAACCAAATCAAAAATCAAAACCTACCAACCCACACCATCACCGAAACCTGCCAAAACCATCACCAATCACCACTCCAAATCTGTATGAAACATCCGGAAATCTGAACAAACACCAAAACCCCAATCAACCGCCAAATCACAAAATCAAAAAAAAAACCAAACCTATCCAATCATCAGCATGGTGAATCGCAATAGTCTTACACCAGCCGTTAATTCTTCCAGACAACCGGTTGCATTTCCCAGGAATGTTCCATCGCGATCGACTTTCCACTCGGGTAAGTGTGCTCCTACGTGCTATCTCTCTCACTCGCTCTATTGCATTTGCCCTCTCCTTTGCCACCATTCACACTGTGTTTGCTACAACCAAATTTTCCACCTGTTGTTGCATCCAATTCTATCATTCGAACGTGCAGTACAGTGTAAATCTGTCGTTCTGTGTAAATCTCTCTAGTGCTCTTGTAACTGAATATTGGACTCTATCAAATACACTGTGTACTAGCTGTTGTACAAACGAAGAAGCGATCTGTATGCAACCAACTGGAAATGATTGATTTGAGCAGTTCCACGCCGAAATGATGAATCGGGAAAACTCGGTCTTCTCCGATTTGTATAAAACTTAGTGTATAAAGTGTGAGTTATGGGTACACAAATCAGCCATTTTGGATTTTGCATATTTTTTTCAAAGTGTCTTAAATATGTTTTAATAAATTGTAGCACGAAAACGTCGCTTCTGATTGAAATAATGTCCGAAATAAAGTTGTAGAGAAAAATAAAGTCTTCTGTGCCAAATGTACACTTTTTTTTGTAATTTTGAGTAAAATATCAAATGTTTAAAAATCAGTGTATATTTTTTTCCAGAAAGACTTAACTTTTCTCAGCAACTCTGTCTCAGACTTCATTTCGATCAGAAGTAACGTTTTGGTGCTACAATTTATTGAAAATATCAAAGACGCTATTTTGAATAAAATTACAAGATCTAAAATGATCGATTTTTTTTTTCTAAAATGTGCATGATTTCCCATAACAAGCAAGTATGTAAAGTTTCGTACAAATCGGAGAAAGTCGAGTCAAACATTATTTATTTCTTGTCTATTTGGCCTGGAACTGTTCGATTGAAACATGATTTTTATGAAATTCTAATATACTTTTTGTCATTTCACCAAAAACCAAAAAACACAACAATAGGCCAAACCAGATCCCGCAACAGTACGACATATGCCGGCACCGGAGGCAACGTCGGCGACTCGCCACACACTGGCAAAACTTTCCTGCAAAGACTTACTACCAGATTCAGCAAACGGTAAGTGCCCGAAGTTTGTTCTAATTTCTCCATCCCTGAACTCTTTCACATCGAAAAAAAAACCTCCGCGGTCACCATCCGCGGTGACCGACTGCGAGCCTACAACCAAAGAGCAAAGGAAGCTTCCAAAGTGTCCTTTTTCATATCTTTTGCATCTGCTGGTTGTGATTTTTTTTTCATAATCTCCATATTTTCAACTCCTTATCAAGTTTTACTTTTACTTTCTCTAAACGTGTTTTTTTGGCTTTCTGCTACTACTACTACTACTACTACTACTACTACTACCTACTTCTTAACATATTCACACCGTCCAACACCGCCTTGGTTTTTCTCTAACTTTCTACTAACACTCCCATCATTTTCATCCGAACTCATTGTTTTGTTTCGTCTCGAATGTTTTGTGAAGTTTTTTGTCCTTGATTCCGTTAGAATTGTTACGTGTTCACATGTGTTATTGTTAGTAAGATTTGTTGTTGTTTGTATTTTTTTTTGAGTTGATACGTTAAATATTGACAGGGTTTTCGTTAAATGATTTCCCCAAGTTTAAGCGTCGTATACACCACTAAAGTTTTGAGAGAAGCATTCTTCATTTTTGTAATTAAGTAAAACATCCATGAGGAGTTAATTCCGGGTAGTGTTTAAGAAATTCTTAGATTGTTTTTAAGGCTTTTGACCTTTGAATTTCTTAATTAATAGAATGTTTGTATGAGTTCGTAAAAATACAACTCTGAAGATAGAATAGGATTGATGACAGTTCGAAGGTACACGACATTTGGTTGTTGTCTTCATTAAATTTCTATAAATCTAACATGACTACTTGTATAATGAAAACCACCATCCCAAAAATTTGCACGTTTTTTGGTTCATGATGATGATGATGATGATGATGATAATGATGATGATGATGATAGACTACCAGCTATTGTAGCAAGGCGCCTGCACATAGCAATGGACTGCTCCTACTACATGACTTGATCAAGATTTAATTTATTATCATACTTATCATACTCCTGTATAAAGCGCCAAAAACGGTTGGACGGACCCGTAAGCAGAGACACTTACGCCAAACCGGCGAGCACTAGCGTGCACAAGAATCTTGTTAAGGAGGGACAATTTTTTTTTCTATGGTGCATTGATTCTGGGGATGGACAGTACTCCAAAGTGCGTGGAAGATGCTGCTGTCCACCCGCCACTGTTTCCCTAGTGTTCAATTTAGCTAATTTTATTTAGTTTTTGCTCTGTTGGTGGCTCATCTTATTCAATGCAAACTGTTTTCAGACAGCCAATGGAATTGACAATTTAATCTCATCGACGATGTCGATGATGATCGCTTCGTCAAATGGTTGCAATAGTAGGGCTTTAACCGAAATGATACTTAGACGAATTCTTAGTAAGACAACAATAGACCAAGGTTCAATGGCAAACTAATACCTACTTTTCAATTAGGGAATACAAAAGCTGTCTTTAAACTTTGTACAGTTGCGAAAAAGTCCATCCTCAGAATTCATTGAGGTTCCTTTTGAAATTTTTAGAACTCTATAAGCTCTTTTAAAATTCTTCTCAGAAATCCTCTGGAGTTATATTTAGAACTCTTCTTGACTTTTACTCAGAACACCTTGGAACTGAAATTCCCTTAGAGTTTCAGAAGAACTTCCTCAGTATTATCCAGCATTATTCCCGGAATGAGCTAGAACTTATCGGTACTCCCTTGAAATTATCTTGAAACTATCTGCAGGATTCACTAGAAATTATTCGCAGAATTTTCTTGGAATACTCCCCACAAATCCTTTGGAACTGTCCTCAGAATTCAATATCCTTGACGTTCTTCTCGGATATTTTTAGAACTCTTTAAAGAGCTCTTTTGAAATTCTTCTCAGAAGTCCAATGGAACTATACTTAGAACTCTTCATGATTTTTTTCTCAGAACACCTTGGATCTGAAATTCCCTTTGGAATTTCACTCAAAATTTGATTTTCTCGGTATTCTTTTCAAAATTATCTTGGAACTATCTGCAGGAGGCACTAGAAATTATCCGCAGAATTTTCATTGAATTCTCCCCAAAAATATTTTGGAACTGTCCTAAAAATTCAATACCCTTGAGGTTCTTCTCGGAAGTCAAGTTAAAGTTGACCATCCATTCACCAAAACGTTGTAGTTTTTCTACCAGAAATGTTCAATAAAGCTCGCCCCTCCATTCACCAGAACTGTGCAATTTTTACATCAGGAATTTTCAATTCAGCTTGCCCCTCCATACAGCAGATTTTGGCAAATCTTACACCATAAATTTTCAATACAAACTTGCCCCCAGAAAATTTTACACCAGAAAATTTCAATTGACCAGAACGATGCAAATTTTCCACCGTTAATGATCCAATAAAAATTGCTTATCCAATCTTCTGATTGGTGCAGATTTCCTTTTTCCAATTTCTACCAGACATTTTCAATATAGCTTGCTTCTCTTATCATCAGAATGTTGCAGTTTTTCCAAATAAAGCTTGCCTCTATTTTCAGATTTTTCATCATACATTTTCAGTAAAGCAGCTTCCCTCCAATCATCAGAATGGTGCAGATTTTCCACCAGAAATTATTATTGAAATTTGTTTCTCTATTCAGCAGAAGGATGCAAATTAAACACCAAAAATTTTCAGAAAAGCTTTCCTATCCGTTCACCAGAATGGTGCAGATTTTCCACCAGAAATTTTCAATATAGCTTAATTTTAAATAAAGCCTGTGCCTTTATTTACCTGACCAGTGCAAGTTTTCCACCAGACATTTTTTGTTCATTTCATTTATCAGAGCGATTCAAATTTTGCATCATAAATTTTCAGTAAAGCATGCTCCTCCATTCACCACAACGGTGCACCAAAAATTGTCAGTGAAGTTTGTTTCACCCTGCACCTTTGTGGTGCAATTTTCAGACTTTGCCTCTTCATGCACCAGAATGGTGCAAATTTTCCACCATAAATTGTCAATGAAGCTTTTATTCATCAGAGCAATGCAAATTATGCACCAGAAAAATGAATAAACCTTGTTTTTACATTCACCACAGTTATGCGAACTTTCCACCAGAAATTTTCAGTTAAATGTGCACCTCACAATTTTTGGCGTTATTCAATTTTTCCACCATTTTGATTAGTTCCTACATGTACCGCCTTGATGATATTTTTACACCAGAAATATTCAATAAAACGCTATTTCTTCGATTTGCCACCACGAAGGTGAATTTTTTCAAACTTAAATTTACCCTCTTCTTTAAACCCTCCATGAAACACCTTAAAAAAAAAATACACCAGAATTTTTTTGTATGCACCAAAAAATTTCATTGAAGTTTGTCTCTTCATGCACCTTTGTGGTGCTATTTTCAGGCACCATTTCAAAGGTTTTCAGTGCTCCTATATTATGAAATGAAGTTATTTTACCTTCAAATCAAGTTATCAAGAAATCATGCCCCACCCTGTGCACGCCAGTGCCGGCGAGAGTGATAGAGAATCTCCTTCCAGAAATAAATTCATACAACCAGAAACCAAATCAAGCCATCGTGTGGTAGAACGTCCCAATAGATGGGGAGAAGGGCCCGCCCTCTATCCATGAAATTTGGTTCATCGGAGTACTGCCCATATAATAAAATCTGTCCTATCTGGAAAAACAGCAAATCGAGAAAAACGATGTTGATTATTTATTTTTCCGTAGGCGCTTATGGATGGGACAACCTAGTTTTGGAGTTTTTCACAATATTTGTAACTTTTAGTGCACAGTGTAAAATGCCGGTAGAGCATTGTCTATTCTAATGGGTAGCTCAGTTCTGGCCAAAAGACAAATGGGACTGTTATGATTTTATGGACAGAGTAGTTCATGAAGAATGATCAAATATGCCATTTTGAGCATCCCTACCCGGAACGACTATATCTTCTCGTTCTCAGAATAAAAAATATATGGGCACAGGAAAACACTGTTAAGTTAAGTGAAGTCGTTTTCCACAAAGCTCATCAGTCTGAAGCCGTTATGAACTTTCTTTAGAGGTATTGTAACCATGAAGGTCCCTTAGAATTCTGGCGCCATGAAGATCTGAAAATTCATCGCGGCAAACTCTAAGAAGTATTTAGAAGTGTTTACACAAACTGTATTTTCAAAGGCTTTGGTGATGAATTATTAACCAAAACCAATAAAAAAAACCAAATGCTAGTAGGCTGATTGCCATAAGACCCACTAGGCTACCAGCACAGGAGTGGAACTTTGGATCAGAAAGTGGCTCCACTTGTCATTTGCGAACACTAGCGCACCTAGCGGTAGAAGGCATCTTCTGCCTGCAGTTAAGATAGGCAGCATGCTATGATAGTGTGAGTGCACATAGAAAGCCCGTGTGGAACGCTACCACAACACATCGCTTGTTGAGCAGAAAAATGAACACTTTTTGATTCACCGATTTGTTTGCACTTCTCCTTCTGTTCTGTGCTACCAGGCTGAACAAGTCATTGGCCTAAATTATTATAGTTGATAGTTTCAAACGGTATCTGCATTGTTCCGGTTTGAGAAAAAAGAACAGAACTACTCAATGCCTTCAATGCACTATGGTTCGCCAAGACAATTTATCAGTAAGAAACATTTGTCTGAAGACACCATGTGAGAGCACTTCTACAGTTTTCAATTAGAGTGTTGTAAAAAAATGTTTTTTTTTTCATTTTATCTTGTTCTAGCATATTTCTGGAAGTGCATTTTTCTCTCAGTTGTAACTTCAAATATTGCTACAAAAATACTAAAACTCCACTATATTGCTAAGATTTGATCATTCCAATAAGGTTGAACGTCTTTTGAACTTATTGTTGTGGAAAATTTGCTTTAAAATTAATTTTTAACTAACGTTCAGCTGTTGAGATTTCGGATAAATATTACCGAAGACGACAATCGTTTCTGAGTGTGAAACTACACTTTGGGGCTTTGAAAATTTGTCAAGATCTGGGATTTAAAAAAAAAAATTCATTATGCCTCAGAAAATCCCGACA